TTTTTCTTTGAGTGCTATAGAAGTTGTCATCCATAGAGCTTAAATCTTTCAAACACTACTTTGCTCAATTGTGTGAGCTTTCATTCTTGTGTTGTAAACTCAATCTCATTTGAGTGTTGTTCAAAAGACTTGTGTGACTCAAGTCTTGTTGTTGTAAGAAAGTGAGGCTTGTGTGATTCAAGTTCTCAAGTCGTACCGATTTTTCAAGCACCCGTTGAAGCTTGAAGAATAGTAGGACTTTCGAGAGAGTCTCTCGGAGGACTGGACTAGCCACGAGGTGGTGAACCAGTATAAATCTCGGTGTTCTTCTTTCCCTTACTCTCTTTACTTATTCCTGCGATATTTTTTTACGCGAAAAACGCACATTCTTGAAAACAACTCTATTCACCCCCCCTCTAGAGTTGCACATTTGTCTAACAATTGGTATCGGAGCAGGAAGTTCTTCGAATACGTTATTTTTCAGAAGCTAAAAGATCAAATGGCATCAAGGATGTTCAACGCAGGAGTTACCGAGGGACAATCAACCACGAGGCCACCTTTGTTCGATGGAACAAACTACTCATATTGGAAGGAGAGGATGAGAATTTTTATCCAATCCAACGACTACAAGCTGTGGTTGATTGTGAAGAACGGCTGCGGAGTCCCGATGAAGAAAGTCGGTGAGATCAACGTTCCCAAAACCGAAGAGGAGTTCACCGACGAAGATTGCAAAAAGATGGAGCTCAACGCAAAGGCAATAAACATGATTTATTGCAGTGTTAATGCGGATGACTACCGCAAAATTTTGCGGTGTGTAACCGCAAAACAAATGTGGGAGAAATTGGAGGTCACCTACGAAGGAACCGCGCAGGTTCGGGAGGCCAAAATCGACCATCTTACTCACAAGTACGAACTCTTCTCAATGAAGGAAAACGAGAAGATTGAGGAAATGTTTGAGAGGTTCTCTAACATCATTAATCATCTCAATCTTCTCGGGAAGACCTACACCGACCAAGAGCTCGTGAGAAAGGTGCTGCGAAGCCTATCCCCCAAATGGCGTTCAAAGGTGGACGCAATCGAAGAAGGTCGTTACTTCCAAACAACGACCTATGATGCTCTTCGAGGTAATCTTATTACCTACGAAACCACCCAACTCTCAAAGGTGGTTGAAGAGAGAGGAACAAGAGGTCTATTGCTCTACCCGCAACAACATCAACCCACAACAACATTGATGATGAAGATGATGACAGCAACGACACCGACCTCGGACTCTTTGTCCGAAAATTCAAGAAGATGATGCTCAAGAAGGGAGCACAGAAGAACACTCCACCCAAATGCTATGGGTGTGGTGAAATTGGACACATCAAACCAATGTGTCCGAAGCTCAAGAACGAGAAGGACAAGAGGGCACCGAAGAAGCAACGTGCCTACATCTCTTGGGAGAACGACGGCTTCGGGAGTGAAGACTCAGAAACGGAGGAAGTGGCCAACTTATGCCTAATGGCCATTGAAGATGGTGATACATCAAAAGAGGTAAGTGATCAAGAACCTTCTCCCAATGAGCCTTTAACTCTTAATGATGTTGTTTGCATTATAGAAGATTTAGTAGGAATGTTCAAAAAGGCTTCCAAAGAAAATAATGAAGTTAAACAAAAAATCCTGATTTTTGAGAATGATGTAAAAGAACTCAAAAATATAAATGATAAACTTAAACAAGNATAAGAAAAACCAACCTAGAAAAACAACATTTGTTAAAGCTAGGGGGAATAAAAATGCTAGGATAAATAATCAAACTAGAAGAGCACATCCTAGCAAACCTAGAACTCATTACACTCAACCATATAGGATGAATAATCCAAATGTTATTTGCCACTATTGCAATAAGATAGGTCACATTGCACCCGTGTGCTTCACCAAAATTAGGCATTTTCAACAAACGCACACACATAGCACATATGCTAACCAAAAAGGACCCAACAACATATGGGTACCTAAACCGTCTCCTTGATATCTATTTGTAGGTGTGCTTGGTATATCGATAGCGGATGCTCCAAGCACATGACCGGAGACGCATCCAAATTTAGGAGTTTAGAGTATTTCAAAGGCGGCAATGTCGTTTTTGGTGACAACAACAAGGGAAGAATAATTGGGAGTGGCACCGTCGGGAGAGACAATGCTACAACCGTTGAGAACGCTCTTCTTGTTGAGGGCCTCAAGCACAATCTTCTTAGCATTAGCCATTTGTGCGATAGAGGTAACCGTGTCATCTTTGATTCTAGTAAATGCATTGTAGAACGCTTGTGTGACAATAGGACTATTCTTTGTGGTAGTAGAGTAGATAACATTTACATGTTTGATCTTGAAAATTCCCCGTCTACTTTAGCTAAGTGTCTCATTACCAAAGAAGAAGAAACATGGCTATGGCATCGTCGAATAGCTCACGTTAATATGGATCATCTTAATAAGTTGGTTTCAAAAGACTTAGTAATTGGTGTTCCTAAACTTAAGTTTGAGAAGAATCTAATTTGTGATGCATGTCAAAAAGGAAAGCAAGTAAGGGCCTCGTTTAAGTCAAAGAACGTTATTTCTACGACTAGGCCATTACAACTTTTGCACATGGACCTCTTTGGACCTTCAAGGACTATGAGTTTAGGAGGTAATTACTTTGGCTTTGTTATCGTTGATGACTATTCGAGGTTTACATGGACACTCTTTCTTGCTCATAAGTATGATGCACTTAATGCTTTTAAGAAATTCATTAAATTGGTTCAAAATGAAAAAGATTGTC